TCCTCCAAGCGGTGGTCATGTAAGTCTCAGCTGGAACATCTTCATGCACAAAATGGGGACAAGACCACTCACCTCCCAGCCAGGCAGTGAAGAACTGAGTATGAGGATGATAACCACTCTGCAAACTGGAGGGCATTGTGGTTTGTTAAGGGCACCTTTCCAGTCCTCACTGTGGAAATCTGATGACTGCAATAACCGTGAACGTGATCTAGAGGGCGCCGGTCCGAGCAGACCACGCAGACATACCATATAATCCGGGGATTTATGGGGGCTGGTTGGTAAGGAGCTGTGATAGCTGCTTCGTGCAGCTGATGTAGGACAACCTGTCAGTAGGGATCTTAATCCAAGTGTGTCACAATTTCCTCTCTCCCTCCCTGTCTCTCCCTCCCTTCCTCTCCCTTCTGTTTCTTTCAGGCATCAGTTGGCAGCAATCACTCTTAATGCGCCATTTGACTATATTCACCTAAATCTGAAGGTGAGGTTACAGCGCTAATTAGAGTTCCTCTCCCGTTGTGAACTGGATCCCACAACTGTCGTTCCCAAGAAGCAGTTAAACAGGTTTGGGCGTTTGCAAAAAAAAAAAAAAAAGCTAGGGCCCCCAAGAAAGCGCTCTTGGCCTCATTTCTATTTGGCTCACACCAAGTCTGTCCTGTTCTTGCTTAAATTTGGATCGCAGGATGAATTTTCTCCGTTTCCTTTTCTCCTGTTCCTGGATCCTTGCTGTAGAATTGTAGGAAACACGGAGTTCACGGTGCATCAGCCAGAAAGGATCTCTCCCTTTTGGGGAAGGTCTGGGGCCCCGGCCTAGACACCACGTGTGCGCCCCGCCTGCACTGCGTTCCCACGGTGCCCGGCCTCCTCGCCCGCTTTACGGCTGTTGTTTTCTCCATCATGGCCAGGATTTGGGGATTTTTCACTCTGCTTAGTGCCAGGGCTTTTTCCTTTCTCAGCCTGAAGACAGCCACTCTTGCTGCTCCCCGAGAAGCCCAGCCTCGCCTTGTCACTGTGCCCAGGACAGATCTGGGGCTTGTGAATGAGGGTGAGTCCAGCCCAGTGGAAGCAATGACAGAAAAGAGCACAGAAGGCCACTGTTGGGCGGCCACAGAGGGGGAGGGGTGGAGGCTGGGGGAGGTGGGGACAGCCCAGCCATACCAGCCACTGCCACCCCCGGTGAGGACAAGGTCACCAGGCAGGCGCGCCGCTCACACACAGCACGAGGGTGGCTTGGCCTGCCCAGCCCTGCAGAGGCTGGGTCCTCCCCTGTTAGAACCAGCAGGTGCTGATGTATGGGGCCGCCAGGAGGAGCATGGAACTCTCTGGAAGAAAAGTCAGACTGTGAGGCATTCCGCAGACACAGTAACAGCCAGCCAGCCACCCCTGCCGTTTACGTTTCTGGTTCACCTCTGTGACTCACAGTCATAAATATTTACGGGGCAGCCTCCCTCTCCCTGCACGTCAGCGTGAGCCGTCTCACTGCATTTTCCCTGAGTCCTAGCACAGTTTTGCTGGGAGGTAGGTACTATAGTCATCCCTATTTTCCAACTGAGGGGGCTTGGGTGGGTGAGTGGCCTGGCCACGCACACGGGCTACGGTAAGTGGGGGGCTGGTTTGGGGGCATCCTGAAAAGTCAGCACACGACCACTGCCCGAGGCTATGCACTGTTCGTCCCCATCCTGTTTCATTAATAATACTTTTGCATTTGATGTCAAAATGGGCTCCCCGTTCTAGGTGCCTCCTACCTGTGAGCTCAACTGTGTGCTGTGTGATATCACCGGCCTTGTCTCCCCGGGTGTGAGGTGACGCCTCAGAGCGGGCCTGGGACGCCCTCCACCTGGCCAGGCCTCCTGCCACTCCCGCCTCATTCTCCTCACCAGCTGTCATTACACCCACGAGAAAAGTGCACACGTTGGCTGATGAAATTAATATTAGAAAGCATCACTAAAATAAACCCTTTCAGGTCAGATCCACCAGGAAGTGTTTAACAGACAAACCGTTCCATCTGCCGCCTTGAAGGTGAAGGTTCTTCCCCAGGGCTGATGTCACTTGCATCTCTGTGATATTTCCTGAGCACCTGCTGCTTTTCCCCTACATTCCTACTCATCCAGGCACTGTTTCAGGTACTGCCTCGAAGAGACTACGTGCTTAGGCACCTCTTGAAATCCCACTAATGTGGAGAAATCTTTCCCTGTGATTTGGCACAGAAGCTGATGCTTCCTCTCCAAGGTGACAGCTCGGCAGTGAGAGAAATTTCAGGTGCCTTCCTGGAACAGTTATCTGATGTTTCTGAGTGTGATCACCAATGTTCCTAATAGGACCTTCCTATAAGCAGTTGGTTGAGCAGCTGTGTGTATGAGACATGGAGAGAAAGAGGGAGATAATATAGTTGTCACTATTGTTTCTAAATGACAAGACTGGTTTTATTACTGTGGTACAATTATTAGTGCTGCATATCACCTCTGTATTAAAAAAGTTTTTTTTAACAAATCTTAGATTTTTATAGACACTTGCTAAATTCTGTTGAGCTGTAGCTCCATCC